GGAGTTTAACCGCTTCAGCTATTTGCATTCCCTAGCTGTATAAAAAGAGTCATGTTATAGTTCGAAAGTGGGCACCCAGGACAGGAGGAAGGTCGCATCCCGTATGGTCTGCTGTTTTTAACTTCTTGTAGTTTCAAGTTAAAAGTTCTCTTTTTCCTCGAAGGCGATATCCGGATCAGCATAATGTGGGCTGCCAGGAACTCTTAAAGTTAAAGCTTTGTTATTTTCGGCATCATTTGCAAGCGTCCAGAAAATTATTTTTAATTCAAATGACTGTCTAGATTCTAGGCTAAATTCTATTTAAAGCTACAGCGCTGAAATTTTGTCACCTGACAAATTAAATATACTTATTATTAAAATCTTCCAACTTGAGTCTTAATAATGGAGATTTTTCTGCCCCGGAAATCAGAACGAGCATGGCAGATGGGCAATAATTTTTTACCAGTTATGGGAAGAAAAATTGACCTGGAAAGGCGATACTGTTTGGCGATTGTTCCTTAAAAAACTAACTTTCTAATCTACCGCGAAAGAATTAGAATATCACGATTGAAATTTCCCATAAAATTTCGGGCTTGGTCCGAGGATTTCAGAAAAACCGTTACATGTCGAAATCGGACAATTTCGTCGATCGACGATCGTCGATTCGACGCAAACTTTAAAATTTTTTTAACACAAAAATTAAACTGAATATTTCACAAACTATATAAAGGGTAACCGCGGAAGTGGCTTCTCCTTTCGTGGTGGAGGTCTGCCTTGCCGTTCCTGTTCTGCCTTGCCAGATATTACACGCAATAAACTTTCCCATACCCACTTCCGACGCTGGGCGCTCCGAAGTGTGGGGTCTGAGAAAGCTTTGCCGGTTCAGCTGCACTCGTTGAGAAGGCTAGTTAAAGAATTACTCCACTCGACCACATCAGCTTAATTTCGTCAACCTGGGTTTGACTCAAACAGCACGCTACAACATAATTTTCTGTGTCATAGAGATTGCACCGTTGTTTGAGTAACTTGAACACGAAAAGCGCTTGTTTTTCTTCATATGTTACTTACAGTACTGGCGCTAGGCATTGGCAGAAGAGGCGATCCGAACGCCCGGGGTCCCGAAAGTCTATGTGCCCGATGATGGAACTGATGGGGGAAAATTAGTAAAAAAGTGAAAAAGAAATTAGAACTCGAGGAAATCGTTATCGCAATTTTATAAGTCGCTGAACATTAATCTGATATTTCATAAAATATTCAATTCATTTTTTACCTTAAACAATTAATTATAGACATTATTTATAAATTAAACTCATTCCAATATATGGATGTTTCAGAAAATGAAAGTTACATTTACAATATGTATGCATCTATGAAATGGAAAAATGTATGTTATCAAGGCGTAACAACCTTGTCGTACTGAGGGATAGAGCTGAAAAGCTGATCCTGAGAAAATTACACACGTTAATCGTGTCGTTTGGTCAGTGAACGCCTATACGCCAATAATAATAATAATAATAATAATAATAATAATAATAATAATAACTACTTGTGCAACAAATGGCACACACTTTTCCGTATTAGTTTCGAACTTGCTACATACTCTTGCCTGCTACAATCAGCTAGCTTTTCGAACTTGCCACATCTTGCCTGCTGCCATCTATGGCCGCACAAAGTACATTTTTTTAAATTTTCTTATTTTTCAGCTTTCTAATTGAAGAAAAAAATTATTTTAATTATATTAAAGAACAGAAAAACCTCGTCATACATGACGTCATATTAAAGAGTGCAATTAGAAATATCCTTTCTGAAAGTTTGGGGCAATTTGGAGCCGTTTCTGAGAAAATACCGTCTCATCGTTTCTGTAAACGCGGACTTTTGAGCAAGTTTTCACAGAAAACGGTTGAGTTTTTGAGAAGGTTTATATGATGTTATTTAAAGCATAAGTACTTATAAATATAATGAGAACATATTGCCACTAATGTTAAGGTGATCATTTTTTTTTACAATTAAAAGTCGAAACAATTTGAGAAAGAATACAACATAAATAAAAATAACATTTTATTAATTCGAACAAAAATACACTTACTATGCTTAGATACTTTTTAATTATTTAAATAAAAAAGTATTTTCCCGGTTATTTTCCTACATATCAATTATTTTCCATCGTTTTTTCTGTTGTCCCCGAAACTACTTTTTTCCGCCGTACGAGTTGAAAATCCATTGAAACGGCAGGAATCCCGCCGACGTGACAACCTAATCGTGTACGTATAGGGGAAAGTAGTAATAATAATAATAATAATAATAATAATAATAATAATAATAATAATAATAATAATAACAATATAAACAATAATGTTTTGGGTGTGTAATGTGTGAATTAAATATGCTGTAACTTAAGGAAATTCCCTCTATTTGCAGCTAGAGCGCAGTCTCTAGATCTATTTAATAACTATGTGGACACTTATACGGACCTTTCTACCATGTACTGCTAAAGGTTATTGAGGTTCATGAGTTATGGCATAATAAGTAAATTATAGCGACAATGGTGATCTTACTAATAGTAGAATGAGAGGCAGGGGAAACAGGACAACTCCAGAAAAAACCTACAAAGTTTAATTTCAGAATTGAACCTGGGTCCCAGCAATGCATTACCCTTGTACTAGCCATTACGATACAATACATAATACATACTCCTCTACTCTTGTAGAATTGGAATTAGCCTGTCTTAGTATAAGGTATTTTTGGAACCTTGCAAATAAGAAGTTCTAAAAATCATTTATACGCAAACAATTGTCAAAAACAATTCTTTATTTTATGTGTTTCGTTAATTTATTTACTACCGAATATTAACTGAGTCTGAAACTAATTCTTGTTTGTGCATGACTACTTTCATGCTATGAGCTTTCCGTTTTTTGCCTGATGCCGGGGACAATATATTACCGAAACTGTTGCAAACAAAATGACAATACTCACGAAATAAAGAATTGTTTATGCCAATTAAATGTCTACAAATTATTTATGGAATTTATTTCCTTCAAGATTGTAAACGTACTACTTACCCCTATGTTTTCGTCATTCAGTAATCAAGAAATCTGCTACCGTTCGTCAGTGTAGCCGTCATCCTCGGTTTACCCCGTCCAGTTCGCGCATGAGGTGTCATTCAGTTTTAAATGATTGATTAGTGATTCCAGGCGCTTCAACGGCTAAGATCATCATTCCCGTAAGCGTAGTGCATTTTGTATCGCGGGAGGTGGCGATGGTGTCTCCCGCTAGCTGGCGAGATCCAGCGCCGATCTACGTCGGGTTTCGGGGGCGTTCCCCAACCAGGTATCTCCCTCCTGCGGGGCGCTTCCCCAGCGGGGACCAGCTCTGATTTCCCGATTGGTCTTCCTACAAGTGTGATAGTGTAGTGCATGTGAGTTACTGAGTAAGAACGGTGTTAGGATAAGGCAAAGAAAAATCGCGCGTGGTCCGTAGCCTGTTTGTTAGGATACTACTAAGGCATTCGTCAAGTGTTGATCTGAAAAACCTCAGAAAATTACCGATTAGAGCAGTCGTCTGCTTGACTTCTCCTCCGGACAGCAATTGAACTATCTATCTAGCTAGTGTCGAAAATCCTGGATTGAAACCCTAGAACCTCCCGGTCAGAGGTACAAATACCTTCAATTGATGCCCTGAGCCATCTAAGCAAGTTTAAAGGCTAAAATATAGTAATTTGGTTCCATCTGAACTAATTTATAGATTGGCTAAACACTCTCACTAGAATTTTTTATGCTTAGCAAAATGTGTAATTTATTTAAAAGAATATCATATGGGATGTTATTTGCTTTATTTGATTCATTTACGAAATACTGGTATATATCGCCTCTGTATTTTGAGTTTTTATGACGATCGCATTAAATAATAAACTTTAAGGGCAGTTCTCGCTTGTCAAAATGCCCGTGGTTCTCCTGACAGCTGGGTAACTCGACAGACGTTGACATGTGGTTTTTTAAATTCGTAATTATTGGCAGGGCATATTTATTCAGAATGAGCGAAAGCACAAAACTTTCGTTGTACCGCAGGGTATGATGTAGCACACATTTTCAACAGGCAGCCTGTTTGACACAGAAGGGAATTTATATAAATGTATCAGCTTTAACGACACATTTCATTTTTTTGTAAATATGATGACGAACAAAGGAAAATTCAGAGCACTTAAATGATGCGCGAGTGATGCATAAAGTTCGCACAGTGTCCTATCCCGATAAAACACGTACTCGAAATTTACTTTTTTTCGAACGTTCTGCCCAGATGTATCTGCAGGGTGTTTAATTTCATTTACATCTCAATACACACGTATTGTAATTGTTATTGAAGAAATACGTCTCGTAATATATTTTATTGCAATATAACATTTTACTCTCTTAATAAAAATTCCAATGAACTATAATTTTCGTTTAAATTTTATTATTGATCAAAGTATTATTTTAATAATACTTTTTCTTCATTCAATTAAAAAATATATTAGTTTTGTTATTTAATAAAAAATATTCAAAATGCAGGTAATTTAAAGACTGACGTAGATTTAGTTCAAAGAAGTCAATGGATTAATATATGTAATATAACTATATAACTATATAACTATATATATATATATATATATATATATATATATATATATATATATATATATATATATATATATAGTTATATATATAGTACTAGTGAAAACACTTACCGTTTTATCACAAATTGATTTTCTACATTGGTCATTTTCAATGCGCACAGTAATGGAAAGGAACCTACGCACCCTCAAATGATGTGAAAAATGTCAATGATTATGTTCGATACCCAGTTATTCAGAGAAAATCCGAAATCAACTATATTTCTAATCTCCAATGCACGCAGAAACTAAAACACAATTTTGCAGCCTCTGCTCATGGAAGAGGTGTCTATTGTTTTTGTTAGAACGCGGGAAAAATCCAAAAACATAAAACAGTTTTAATAGTTTTAATTTTGACTGAAACATGACAATATTAATTGTGTTACTCCAAGTATTATCGTGCCGCGCGGACCAACTTAATTTTCACACTCTGCGTTAGTACTTACGACATAGCCGACGTCATGTGACAGTGAAGGTTTCCAGGAATTGGCCGTCTACCATTAAATGCTTACTATTCACGAGATGCGTAAGAGCAATTAAAAAAAATGTTTGTGTTCAGAACTATTGAAGGGTGTATTTAGGTATACAATACTACGATGTCATAGTATTTGTGGAGATTGTCTTTGTTAAAATATTGAATCCACTGGTATATGGGATTATTTAATATATTGTTCTTTATCAGTGTGTGTGCTACTCATTAGAAAATCATTTTGGTTTTGTGCAGCAGTGGTTGTGCTGTGGCAGGTCACTAATTGTTGTTAATAGAGACGCATGGATCATTAAAAAGTTGTATTGGTCTTATTAAATGTATTTGTTTTCTTGAAGATGAATTTGGATAGCTAATGTGGATAAAATAATGTGAAAAACAGAATATCGATTTAATTTCATTCCAAAATTTGGGGTAATCACTCTAAGTTCGTCGATTTTACAACCATATCTGATTTGAGTGTGTACTTGAGAAATATTAAACAAATTTGAAGAAAATTGCTACAATAAAGGAAAGAATCTTCTATAATGAATGTTAAGATCAAAAGAGCATAATTGCATCTTTTATTTCGATGTAGTGTTCAGTGCGACAAAATACTTGCGAGACGTCTGTGAGGTATTATTGAAAAGCATCATTCCATTATTCTTAATATATCGCTTGACTGAAGGATACTAAAAGGCCAGTGAGCAATGGAACAATCTTTTCCTCTCGAAAGATAAATTGGTCTTTAAAGTCTGACAATTTCCTCTATAAGTTGCTTGAGCATAATAGGCAATAGAGATGACTTTTCGAAAGGCAGACCCATCAATTCCTTAGCCTTCTGATCCGTCGGAGTTTCTCTTTCTAACGCCCACACAGCGCCAACTGTTTCTTCTTATAGTTTCAAGAGAGCGCTGCGGTGGTTGCGCCACGAATATCCGTCAAGTTAGTCGTCTTCAAACTCCATAGCGCGCG